TTATATATGACAAGTGCACTTATTAACATGGCAGTAAATCTACATAGCACATAGATTATATAAAATATATAACAACAAATATATATAGGTGTATATATATGTGTATGTGCGCACACATATATATGACAAGCACATATGTTAACACGACAGTAAATCTCGGTCCCACTGAAAGCCCATTACAGACGTGTGCTCAACAAGACAGCATTTTTCAAGCTGTTCCGCTGAAATCCTTGAGACTACCATCCCATCCAACCAGCCCTTTTGCGCCTGCTCTCCAACGCCATCTCCGACTCCACAAGCCAGCCCAGCAGGTGTCAATGTTGGCCTGGCCGCACACAGCTCCAAAGGAACCAGCCTGCCCAGCCCTTTTTAAGGCTGATTTTGGAGCTGGGCCAGCAGCCGCTGTGTCAGCCCTTGAGCGGAGCAGGGCCAGGCTGGACACATGGCCAGGCAAGTCGGTGCCAGCGCCAACTCTTCCCAGCAATGCTTTTGGCCAGAGCTGCAGTGGGATGACTCCATCCCAGCCCCGTGGTCCATACCACTCCCCCTTCTGCATCCCAGTCCTTTCACCTCCTCACGCGGCGCCGCAAAGATGACAGAGACACAGTCCCAGCGTATCTTACCGTGTCTTAAAAAAAATTCCCCCATCCCCAAATCTGTCTCCACTTCTTAACCCAGGCATGGTGACAGAGGGTGTGAATGCTCCTCCTCAGCCCCAGTGCAAAGTCAACTTGGCCCGCATCCCCTCCTCCCTCCACCGCCCAGAGCACGTCCGTGTCCCCAGCGCTGGGGTGTCACAGCCCGTCGCGGTGCTCACCGGGGAGCTGTCGGGGGACCAGGAGATGAAGAGCCACTCATAGCCCTGGGCATTCTGGCTGTCCAGGCGGTACAGCACGTAGCATGGCTGCTGCTCGTCCAGCAAGGGCAGCACAAAGGCATCGTAGTCAGCGTCCCAGTGCCGAGACAGCTCTTTGTGGGCTCCCAGCACAAGCTGTTCTGGAAGGAGAAGACAGAAAAGATGGTGTTAGATGAAGGCAAGGCTCACCTTGCAGGACCACGTGGCGGCTCATCTAAGGGCTCGCCGCAGCTCCAGCACTGACAATGATGCTGTCCTGCAGACAAACAAATGACAATCTTGAGCCACGTGCAGGAGTGTACACCCCCGGGGCGACCCCCCAAGAGATGCCACTGGGGCTGTGGCTGCTGTGGAGGGGCTGGTTTTCTGCCAGCATCCCACTGCCTCCTGTCAGCCATCTCCTCCCCTCCGGTGCTCCTCACCGCTGAGGTCTCCTCTCTGGTGACCATCTGTAGCCTCCTTCCACTCTGCTCCCTCCAGCCATGTAGTCCCCAACCATCCCTCCTTGCCCACAGGGGAATGTGAGACCTCTTCCATCCCACCTGGACAAGCTCTAGAGGCACTAGAATACCTCACCAGGGATAGGAGGGACTACCTAGATTTGGGGTGCTCAGAAAAATAAAGGTCCCATAGCAAAAGCCAGGATGATGAATCAAAGCTGCTCTCATCAGATTCTCTGTAACCTCAGAGGCGTCAAAATCAGAGCTGATACCCAAAGCCCATGTCTGCAGGGACCAGAGCTGTCCCAGAGACCCCAGCCTGGGGCGGGGACCATGCTGCCAGGAAAGCCCCAGCCTCTGGAAGCGACCTACACATTTCATGCACATGGTAGCATCTCAAGTATCTGAAGGGTATTTTTTTCAGCTGCCACACAAGCAGCAGTGGGGCTGGGAACCCCATGAGCCAGAGAGCGCTCAGCTGGGATTTAAATGCTGGTGCAGGCATCCTATGAACATGAAAACCACCCCTGTGAGGGTCAAACCAAGCTTGGGATGGCTGGATGGAAAAGTGATGGTACTGGAGATGATCAGCGTAGGTTGCTGGAAAACAGCCTGTATTTTTATTCCATTTTTAGATGCAGAAAGGTCTGGGGGGAGATGTCCAGACTCAGAACAAGATGTAGGAAAATCCAGAAGTACCAAAGGAAAATAAATTGGGGCCTTGGACAGTTGGCACTCAAGGGGATGCTCAGCCTGGTATGTGCCCTGCCTGGACCTCTGCCCATGGCCCTGCTGCTCACTGGGAGCCGGGGAACCCCTTGGCTGGGGCACAGCCCTCTCCCTCCCAACCCACCCAGCTCAGCAGCTCTGAATCCCATGGCAGGAAAGCTTTTAAGGAAAACAGTTGAGGATTAAAGGGTTTGGGATGAATTACTCTCACCCTCCTTTTCCATCCAAGCAGGGCATTCCCCCACTGACTGCAGCATGCCCCTTCCCTGCCCAACGCTGCCCTGCCACCACACACTGAACCCATAATTATTTGCACACGAGGGGGACATGCTACCAGTACAGTAACAAGGACAGCAGAGAAAAAGGTGCTGAAAATACTTTACCTTCAGCAAAACTACCTGTTTTGAGAAAGAGAAGCATAAAAACCTCAACGTACCCCTAAAATAAACATAAAGCCCTGCAAATGGATTTGTACATCGCAAAGACCTGGTATCCCGAAGAGACTGCAAGGAATCTCACCCAGCCAAACCCACTGGCAGCTCATGGGTGTCTCCGTCTGCCAAACATCCCGACACCTCATGCATGAGGCAATCAGTGCCGAGTCACTCCAGGCTATTCTTGGGCTGCGCCCAAGCCAGACCCTGGCTGTGCTGCCGTGAGCCGGCAGCCTCCAGCTTTCCCCTGGGCTGGAGGAGTTGCTTACTCCTCTGCCTCCCATCAGGCTCTTTGCAGTTCAGCTCCTCAACCCCTTCGGGGCCAAATTTTCCTCCCCAGGAAACATCAGGAAAGGAAAACCCAGAGAAGCCGCCTTTCAGCAAAGCACCATCATCAGCACTGGCTATTTCAGGCTCCATTTCTGCAGGGCACTGCTGCTGAAAAAGCACAGCTGGGAGCATTTCTGGCCCTCGAGGTGCCCCCAGCACTCAGCCACAGGCAGGCTGCCTTGCTCCGAAATGCCCGTACAAGGCAGCCCTGCCTGCAGCTCTGGCGGGTGCCATGGGGTGACAGCGCAAGAGCCGTGAGTCTGCAAAGCTCAATGCACAACATCACCTACATGCAAAGAAATGCACCCAACAGAGAAGTCCACAAAGCCAACCTTGTCCAGAAACCTGCTGACAGCGAGGAGCAGAGAATCATCTAAAAACACATTGGATCACAAGCCACTCTCACACCAGGAAACCATTGCTGAGCCTTGGTGTGCAACCCGCTCCCCCCAACTCCTTCTCCATCTAACCTCGGCTTCTCCCAGCAGGGCCCCATAGGCAACATCAGCTCAAAGAGCTCCCAAACAGTTGCTCAGCCATAGCTGCTGTCCTGGGGATGCCCAGACACAGAGCATCTGCCATAGGGCTCCTTGCACCATCTTTCTCTCTTTCCACCCCACCGTTGCCTACTCTGACATGCCCGAAGACTAATGCCCTGTATGGCAGAAGGTCCTCTGCAAGCCATCGAGCAGGGCTTCAGGCTCCACTTCCACATTCCCTATACCAGCAGGGCAGCTGGCATGTCCTCCCCAGCTGGCTCAGGCCACATCCCTTCCAGCACGCTTGAGTCCGTCCGTCCAGCTGTGACATCTGCCTGGCCACTCATTACTGCCTGAAGGTCCTTCTCTGGTGGGTAGCAGCCTGCTGATGCCCTCTGTGTTACAGAAAAGAGTAGTGACCCAGGGGGACCAAACAACTTGTCCTAAGTCATGTGGGAGGGCAGACAGGAGGTTTCCGAGCCAGGCTGGTGTCCCCAGCAGACCAAGCCCTTCAGCACAGAGATGCTCCTGGCTCTCCTCCCTCCACCTGCATCCCCACAGGGGCCCCAGGCTCTGCTGCATCTCAGAGGCTTCTGCAAACACCCAAGCTCCTGCAGAGCTGCCCATGGCTGGTCCAGGCCATGGGGAAGGAGCCAGGCTGGGAAGCCCAAAGCCCTGCCGAGCGAGGTTGGTCTGTGAAGCAGCTGCTGCCGCCAACACATCAGACAGATAAATATATCCCGTTCAGCCTGAGTGGAGATGGTGGGACATGGCTTCCATTTGATGGTAAAAAGTCTCCCTTGCTAGTGTCACCAGCCACAACGCAAAGCCCTATCACCCTAAGTCCAGGCTTAGGGGCACCCATGACTTATCCTAACGCAAACCTGAATCCTACTTTTTAAAAGCAAAAGGAGCCAAGAGAGCAATATTGTTGTCAAAGATGCTCCGAAGAAACAATGCAGATGTCGCGTCCCAACACGCAGGGACCTCATCGAGGACAAAGCCTACACTTCTGATCCTTGTGGTCGTCCTGCTGATGCATCCCATGCATTTCAAGTCACACCACTCTTCCAAATGGGGCTTCACAGCCCCTCCAAAGGCCAGCATGAGCTCCTTACGACCACGAGCTCTTTACAACCACATCCACCTCAGCATTTGCAAGCATGGTCCTGGTGGCTCACCCAAAGGAGATCGTGATGGCAGTTTGGCAGAGCACGAGAAACAAGTCATTCATATGCAATTGTACAAGGCCAAAGTGATGGAAAACCTACACCACAGAAGCTCCCTGCTAGGATGCTAAATCAGTGCTTTGCTCTGCTTGCTAGTTTGATAGATGTAGAGGCCACCCAAAGGCACCTTTCCACAGTTTCCAGGTTGGTGCCAGCCTGCAAACCGGGCTAGGGGCAGCCCTGTGCACAGGAGCAGGGGCTGGGATGGGTTTCAGAGTGTAGCATCCCTCATAGGATGCAATCGGAGCCCTGTGCTGAGGCCTGCACCAAGGAGCACCCTCCTGCCCACAGCATCTCCTTGCCTGCTGTGGGATGCCACGTCCAAGGAGGAAGGTGCTGTGCATCACCCCCAACCACAGTCCCACGGCACCCGCAGCAGCTTCTCGCAGGGTTCCCATAATAAAATTCAACACAGTGGCAGCAAAAGCCCCTGAGCCCAGCACCGATCCCGGACACAGGCATCGGTCCACCAGCAAAGTCGCTGCTCCCCACCAGAGATGCCCTGGGGCTCCAATAACTGCTGAACAGCACACCCAAATTTTGGGCTTGGATTTCAGCTCTGGGCTGCTGCGTGCCAGGGAGCCCCAGCAGGATTTTCCTTGGGGTTTCCAAAAACACGAGCTGGCACCACAGCAGCAAAGAGGAAAAGAGGAGAGGCAAAACAGAGAACCAACCTGGCATAAATCAAAGTACTTAAAAACAGGACTTACCATCCTCGATGATGACCTTGATGAGTCGAACTGAACCGTTTCGGGCTTTGGCAAAAAAATCCCTTAATTCCGTGGTGGCTGAAAGAACCAGAAACATCGTGATCAGATTTAGCAGTCAAAGCAGGTGCTGGGCTGCTCAGTGACTGGCCAGGGAGGGGAGCAACTTGGCAGGATAGAAATTTAAAAATTAAAAAAACCCTAAAATCTCTGGTGCCAAAAAAATGTTAATAAAAACAATAATACAAAACCCAAACAGCTGGGAGTGAAGTGCTGCGTCTCCCTGAGGCGTCAGAGTTAAATAGCAGCTGGGAGTGCATGTGATCCAGAGAACTTGATACTTGGCCTGGGTGAACATAATCACCCAAATTTAGACGATGGCTTGGCCAGTGCAGGCAGGGAGAGCTCAAGTGACAAGTTTATTTGCTTTACAGAGCAGCAGGCTTTGCCTATGGGGGGTGGCTGGAAGATGTCCTGACAGGCTGTGATGTCCCGGGCTCGTGACACACAGCGGGGATGCTGCTCCCGAGGAGGCTGCAGACTAACACAGCTCCAAACTGGAGGCACTGGTTTGAAGCCGAGCCCCTGGGAAAGGGAAAGGCAAAGGCAACAGCCCGGGGGTTTTGCTCCAGAGCCGGTGGGGCTTTGGTTGCAAGAAGGCTTTTGGGAAGTGTTTTGGGGAGCCACCTTCTTCCCCATCCCCCAGCAACAGACACCAGCAACCAGTTTTCAGCATCATAACCAGGAGGCAACAGCGGGCAGGGGATGTTGAAGGGGCAACGCGCAGCCAGCATCGGAGGCTGAATCTGCCCACCCCGAAAGCATCACTGGTGCAGAGCTCCCTATCCCACCCAGCACATGCTACGTGCACAGGCAACGCCCAAGAGATGCAGCTTGGAGGGGCCGAGCCCCCTGACAAGGAGCATCTCCCAGCCCAGCTGCCCCTGAAAGCCCCTTCGATTACATGCCTGAGCCCCTTCCTGGATGCGGCCATGCAGCCAAGTGTCCTGTGAGTTTAAAGCCACGGGCAGCTCTGCGCTTGTTAGAAATATTAAAGAAACGGTGTTGCAAAGATCAGAGACCCAGGCAGACACACCCTCAGTTCACACCAGGATCCATGCTCAGAGTCACCATCAGCAACCCCCTGCTCCCGGCACTTTGCCGCGCTGCCTCCCCATTACTGATCACCGTGCCGGAGCAGCCCGCAGCAGGAAGGAGCCCTGCTTTGGTCCCTGGAGCCCGAGAGCACCCACAGCCAAGGCACTTCACAAAGAAAGCCATTGCTATGTCAGCCAGAAAGGTGCAGTGGCTGGGGAAGCCATTCCCTGCTGGCAGGGGCCGTATCAGTTCCACTTCAGTCCCACCGGCAGCGGGTACCAGCCTTCAGTGCAGCCCCCCAGCATCGCTGCGGGAGGACGTTAGCCATCCATCACGCACCCAAGGGACACGCGGGGCCAGCGATTCTGTCACACGCTGGTGCCCTCTGTCCCCTGGAGGCAGACCCCAGAATGGGGCACTGCCCACAGCTCCCCCAGCCCCGAGGGAGAAGGAGCGGGCATGGATTTGTCCCCAAGCACAAACGCTGACCACGCAGGCAGAGAGGTGGACAGGGAAGTCCCAGGGAGCCCCCCAGGGAACTCCTGCTTGTCCCCCCCAAGCAATACATCTTAGATGCATCTGTCCCACCAGCTCAAAGCCTGCCCTGATCAGATGTCCGGATGGTTTCTCCTCCCACAGAGAGAAGACACACAAATGAGGAAGAGCTCCGAGGCTGGTATCCTGCAAGCAGCAGTGCTCCTGTACGAACCCAGAGATGCCACCCCATGGGTACGGGCACACAGACACCCCAGCAAAGGCACATCAGTCCCTAATGGCATTTTAGGGGACACACACAGAAGGTTTGCTGGGGTAATCCCACCACAAGCAAACCATCCTTCTCCCTCCATCAGCATCGAGGCATGTGGCTCTCCCAGTTCCCAGCATAGACCTTCACCCTCTCCCAGCACTAGCTGGGAGCTCAGCCTGCTCCTGCTGTTTCCATGCAAGGCTGCTCTGATATTTTTAGCCCCTTTCCCTGTTGAGAGCAGCTCTTTCCTTCCGGCAGCATCTGTGGTTATTGCAAACACACGAGGCGGAAGAGGAGGGGAAAAAGGAGACATTTATACACCCAGGAAACCTCGTGCAGGAGACAAAAGCTTCCAATAAGCATTAAGCTTTGCCAATTCCTATTGCACTGCCACAATAGGAGAGAATAGCATTGGTCTTGGATATTTCTATAGCATCAACTTCGGAGGAGAAAGAGGAAAGCTCTGCAGCGCTAACGGGCTTGCAAATCCCTCCAGCCTGACCCCATCCTTCCCAGAGCTCAAGGACGCACAGTAGTCTGGAAAATCAGGAGTCTGGGCAAATGCAACCCCCCAGCCCACCTGGAAATGCTAGGAGTGCCCAAAAGTATTGGATTGACAGTTGGGATGATTGACAGTTGAGTGATCGACAAGTGACAGCCAAGCACTGAGACCTGTGTAGGTACAGAGGGGTTTAAGGGGACAGGGAGAAGCACAGATAGATGCTGCCAGAGGATTGAAGTGCACGATGGCAAATACCACAAAGTCTGCCAAGGAGGGAGATGCTTTCCAGAAGAGACAGTGGCAGAGCTTTCAAAAAACGCAGAGCGGGCTTCTGAGCTTTAATTCTGCTGAAATAATAAAAAATAATAATAAAAAAGAAATTTTCACTTAAATGAAAAAATCACTGGAGTGTCTTTGACATCCCCTTTTTCTCTCACAAAGCAGTGCCAAGAGCCAGCGAGGAGGGAGAGGAATAAGCTAGGAAAGGTTTTCAGCATGAGCTCAGCAACCGCTTCATTACAGCATGATTACGACTTAATTGGCACAGCAGACTTGATGAGATGGCTCACATGCTGAAATATTAATATAGAAGTCCACAGCCGGCTCTGGAAGAAAGGCAAGGAGAAGACCTTACCCTGGAGATGGAGGCGAGTGGTACCTCCACCCTGAGGCATCTCCATGCCAGGAAGTCTCCAGGACCTAACTCAAGGGCTGAAAAACCCACGTGTGGGGAAACCATAAAAATCAGTTTCTTTTTCTGGTTCCTCTCCTTCTGCATTTGACAACAAGACGAGGTGGGAAAGATGCTGGGCACATATCAACATAGCCAGCTGCTGGCATGGGGCCAGCTGCAATGTTCCTTCTGTCCAGATGGGGAAGGGAGGAGCAACAGGGCAGAGGAATGTGGGACCCACGTGTCCAACTCACCCTCTAGACAACAGTTCCTGGAAAATCCTGGAACAAATAATCCACAAACAAACCCAAGGAGGGCTACAGCCAGCAGGGATCTACCAAGACCAAGTTGCATGAGATCAACCTAGCTTCCTCCAGAAGAGCCACAGACCTGTGGGCTTCAAGGGTCTCAGCTCAGCTTTGTAAGTGTCTCCAAGTGTTGGAAGCCAGCTTGGGAAACATGGTGGTGGTGAACCTCTACAGCACCAGCACAAAAATGCACGGATAACTCACTCTGGGAGGTATCAGAGGTTGGATCGAGCAAGGTCTCCTGGAGACCTGTGGTGGGTCCAGGTTTAGTCCATATTTCCACGAACACTTCTGGCAACTGCAATAGGGCTTTCTGCAGCTGTAAGGTGGGAAGCTAGAGCAGATGCAAGCGCGCGCTGGAGAAGAATTCACCGTTCTCTCAGGAGACTGGAGAAACGGGCTGAAAAAAAAAGAAATAGGATGAAACTCAATAGGAAGCAAAGTACTGTAACTAGGAGAAGGACCAGCTACACAGATGCAGGGCAGGGTCCAACAGGTCCAGAGAGGAGAGGTGGGTTGCAAGCCAAGTTCAGGTTAATCGCTTCATGTTGTTGCCGGCAAAGTCATTCGTGAAGGCACAAACAAGAGCAAGACCACGTTATTTGGTGCTGACAAGGCTGCAGGCACAGCACGAACAGCATGTCCAGGCTCAGCATCGTGCAAGGAGGAAGGCACAGGACGGGTGGCACCTATGCCAGAAGGCGCAGCGTGCAAGAGCAACTGAAGTAACCAGGGCTGGTTGGCCCAGAGGAGAGAAGAAAAAACAATGAATAACTTGTACTGGTTTTCCAGCCAGAAACATCAGGTCCCTCCTCGGCATTTGGGAAATCTCACGATGAGGGTGATCAAACCCCGGGAAGGACATCATGCCTCCATCCCTGCCCCAAAAAACCTCCAGAAACCCTCCCGGGATGCTCCTGCTTTGAGGCAGGGTGAGCTCAGTGGCATCTTGAGGAACCTTCTGGTCTTTCTACAAGGCAGCCCTGCCATCAACCCTCCTGGCAGACATGGCAGGCACAAGCACCCATGCATCCTCAGCCACCCTCCTATGACAGCCCAAAAATCGCCTCCAGCCACTGAGTCGTGCAGCACCTCCCTCTCCCACCTGTTTGTAGGCTGCAGATGAGTTGTCCCCTATTCATGAGCCACTTGCATTTAGCAGTCTGCTAGCAGTGTGTCCCAGGTCCCCTCGCACCACAAAACCTCCCTGCCTAGTGGCACTTGCCACCCATTTGGGATGGAGGGCTGAGCAGAGCAGGACATCGGCACCAGAGCACCCAGGCTGGGCAGCTTGCCGCATGGCAGGGAGGTGGCCTTCAGGTGGCCCTGACCACACAGGCAAGCTGCTAGAGGAGAAGAGGAGCTCGCGGTGAGAAGGCATAGCGGTGCCTCCCCTCTCAGCAGCACCAAGCAGATGCGGACCAAAGCTTGAATATCCCACACCTCAGGGACCAGCAGGGTGGCCAGATCCTTGCACCTACTCAATGGATGTGCTGTTTGCAGCCAAAGCAGGCAGCTGCCCTGCCCTGGGATGCGGCTATTTGGGTCAGTCCCCGGGAGATTTCAGTGCCGGGCTCAAAGCATCACACTTCCCCAAAAAAGCTGTGAGATAGAGCTGCAAGATGGTGCTTGCAGGTACTACCCCGCCACAAAAGACATCCCCAAAGCTGAGCCTTTTTTTGATGTTTACAGCCCCAATTAGCTTATCAGAGCAGAGCCAGGCTTTAACGAGGCCAGAGGGAGATTGAGGCA